ACAAACGAAAACAACCACATGGAAATGACAGCATCGGGAATTTGAGACGGTCCCAAAAATGTTTGGAGAACTGTTTTTTTTTTTTTTGCTTTTTTGTTTTGTTTGTTTTTCCAGGGCCAGGAATGGAACCCAGGACCTTGCGCACACTGGGCAACATTCAGCCCCAGGGCAGCACCCCAGCCCTGAAACTGTCCACTCAAATAGAAAAATCTCCCCCACCTGGAGGGGCCTTCCCCAGGAAGGGGTGGGCTTCACCAGGAGTCCTGTTTCCTCTTTCATTTTTCATTTTCCGAGTTTTTTACAGTAAGCATCCATTACATTCCTGATCAGAACTGTTTAGGAGGCTGAGGCAGGAGGATCGCTGAGTTGGAGGCCAGCCTGTGCTACATAGGGAAACCCTGTCTCAAAAACAAATGAAAAAAACTGAAAAGGTTTCTAAAGTAGTTTAAGGAAACCTGTTACTGAAAAACAACATCTAAAGCAAACCATTCCACAAAGCAAACTGTCAAAGGACCCCGCGGGGTTGGAGGTGCAGGTGTACAGGTCCCCGGGGCGGAAGGACCCCCTACGGCTAGGCGTCCCCGGGGAAGGGGGCCCCCGCGGGGCTGGCACTGGGTACGGGGACGGCTGGCTGTGTCTGGGCGAAGCTGACCGCGCCTGGCTTTCTTCCCTGAAAAGAGGCGCCAGAGTCTGAATTCTGCCGCCCCGTGCGGTGGGTGTGCAAGGTGCACACCGAGTGTGCCAGGCGTCCCGGCGTGGGCAGCGACCGCAGGCACGCGCCGGCTCCCAGCCCTGGGCAGGGAGGGCTCACCCGCAGGCGCGGCGCCCGGGGCGGAATTATGACTCACTGCCTTATTTCACTTAATTGCTCTGGCTGTAAATTTCTCAAAACTAACATGAGCATATTTTACAGCTCTCGGGACATTTAGAACACAAGGGAATAAATCTCTTTCCACTGCGATGTGTCCACCCTGACGGACTCCGAGGCCGCCTTCGGGAGAGGAGGCCCGTGGGACGCGGAGGCCGTGGGCAAACGCCGCCCTGCAGCCGGGCTCCCGCAGGGCTGCGAGCGCGGGCGCCGGCGATGCGCGGGCCTG